GTCCCATCAGCAGGTGAAAACTACTGTTGGGTGTTAAGAGAACAGTTTTTTGTTAAAAATTACTGACACTGCCTTTTGAAAGTCTCTAATCTTTGATTGGAAGGGGTTAATGGGAAGAGGAAAGGAAATTGATGCAACCACATACATTATGGTATTTTGACTGTATTTGTCAAAGCATTTAGTGTTAAATAGTTAAAGAAACGAGTGTTGTAAAATAAAGTAATTCATTAAATGTTTTCCAAAATACTTAATTGTGGAACTCGGAGATTTTTCGTCAGAACATACATGATATATTTTGTTAGAGATGATTTCAGGAGAGAAGACACCGATTATTTTTTATTCATGGCCGAAATGTTTAAGAGATGTTGCTGCTATGCAAATTGGTTTCCTAATAAAATGAAACTTGCACACAGTGGTGTAGACAACAAGGCACAATTGTATTTCTTGATGAATAATTTTCAAGGTCACACAGTCTCCCTTTCACATCACTATGGGTCTGACAACACCCCACAATTTTATATACATCTTATCACATTTCGAGATAGTAGATGATACAGCAAAGCAATGTCCACTTTTAGACAAGGTCCGTTATGAGAGGTTTCTCTGTATCTGTTACTGAAATACAAGTTATGCTGCTGCAACAGAAAGTGTCCACAGTCAGCAATGTTTATGTGTTAATATTACATATTTGAAATAATTTTATATATCTAAACATAATCGCTCCCTGAATAATTTGCTCTGAGGTTATAAAAATATCCCCCCCCCGAAGTTAAAATTTTTACCACGAGTTAATATTCTACATTTTTTTTTTTTACGAAACTTAATCCATAATTTCTTCAAATGATTTAATTTCGTTGTCCAGCTAGACTAGAAATTGAAGAATTCTATCACAAATCAGTCATTTTAGGGCCTTCGTGAGTTCCTAAAATGTATAGCTAGGAAGCATGATTATCTGATTATTGAATATATTTCAGACCCCATAAAAGTATTTTATGATTGTAAGGTGCGGATTGTATGGTTACTAATAAATTTCATCTCAATTATATTCATAAAGTTCCAAAATATATTTTTTGAAAGTTATCCTGAAGTGGGGCACTACATTGAAATCAGGAATGTCTTGCGCAATTCGGGCCGCCTGCTCACTGTACACTACTGCAAGAGAGATATATACATTTGAAACAAATATTATCTAAAAGTGACGAATCAATCTTTCCAAAATTTCCTTTGTAAACATTATAGTTCAGAGCATACGATTCTTAGTTTGGGTTGGTGCTATGGATCTTAATATAAGAATAATAACTATTTCCTGGCCTTTTTTAAAAAAAAATTTAGTGGATAGTAGTAGTATTCAGATGTTATTTCATTTATACTTTTGTTTCGAGTTTGAATTGAACTTTTAAACCAAATGAATTATCGATTCGCTTTAATAAATTTTGGATTGCGTCAGATATCTGAGGATTAATTTATCAGTTCTGTCACTACTTATGTCTTATCTTAACACTGAAACGAAGCTCGCTTAACATTTGATCGATTTATGATTTTTTCTTCAACAGGATGTTTTTTCCCTCACTGAGAGCTTTTCACTTCCCTGGAGAATTAGCCAGGTGAGTTAGTTTCAAGTTTGATTTTTCAAATTAATTCTCTTTCATGTTCTTTTTTTTTTTTTTTTTTTTTTTTTTTTTTTTTGTAATAGTTTTAATATAAACTTTTCCAGGAATAAATTTCTTTAAAAGAATATCATATAGTGTCAAAAGAAAATTTTACTTCAACCTTTTTTAACTTCTTTTGAATTGAAATATATATATATGTATATATGTATATTTGCCTGCCTGTTGTGCTTCTGTATGTGTGACAGCTTGTTTCTTTTACATAATCTTTATTAAGAAATGAAACTGGGGGTTCATTTCCTTTATATAGTATTGTTCTTAAAAATTTGCATGCATTTTAACAATCCATCACTAAAGAGCTATACATAAAAAATATTAGATATTTGTTGGAAAGTTCTGAAAGGTAATAATTGTGTTTATATTTTTTATACTTTTCTTATGTATCAGATAAGCTATAAAGAGCTCAGTTATTAGAATATTGAATAATATAACATTAAAAGAAGTCTCTATAAATGCAAAATGCAGGAAAATATATTCTTAATGCAATATTGTAATTTAAAAATTTTTTTACATATTTTGGGAAGAAAAAAAAACCTTATTTGAAAACACAGCATCGTAAAGGGCAAGAAAATGTCTAGGTAAATGGACTTTATGCAAGCTAAACTTCAAAACCAAAAATTATTCTGACTCACTTAATTATTGCATTAGCAATCTTTAAAGTATTGACTAATTCATCTCTAAAATTCAGTAAAGAAGCGTTGATAATTTATATACATGTAAAATAAGTACATTAATTATGAAATATGAGAGCAAGTGAATGGTAAATTACAGTAATTCGCAATTACGTAAATGCGCAAAAAACTCTAGTAGCCAAGGAACAGAATTTCTCTTCACAATCATCTACCTTCAGTGGGAGTCCTCCATTAGAGAGCCAAAATAACTGTCGGAAGATGCTTTTTTATTATAAAATTTTAATTCAGTCTGTTTTTACGTTCATTTATATCTATTTCATACTTTAATTTTAGTTTACATCCGAGAAATATTCTTGCAGGATGTACCATTCATAAAATAATACTGTATGAATAATATATATATGGGTATGCATAATATTTATAAGTACTGCGTTTCTGGTTATCTTCCATTTAAACAATTTACAAGCTCGACTTACATTAAATTCATGATACGTAAATGTTTACAAAACTCATTATTTATGTAAATGTAGCATTTTTAAAGGCATTTTCATTCTTTGCTACATTTTGATTCATTTTCCAGCAGAATGAGAAATACTGAGAAATTTTTATTTAATAGGAGAATTGTTTTTATTCTCAGAAGAGTTTCGGGTAATATTTTTTTAAAGTAGGTAAATTCTGAAAGGCTCATCTACTAATCAATGCTGCGCATCAACACAATTTTAGAATATTTTTATCAATTAAGAAATGTTCCGTTGATAAAAAAATAGTAATACAAGTCATTATGGCTGAGCTATAAGATGGGCAAAACAAAATTTTATAACCGAATTCTCCAGTTTTCGTTGTGTGTTTCATGGGACGGTAAGCTGCAGTTTTACACAAAGACTCATTTCCTTTTCCTTACTGCATTCGGCATTGCTGCACTTTTTGTATGCTACAAGATAGATTGAGCATAGTAGACAACAAAGTTAATAGTTTCATTAAGCTCTTGAGTAGCTCTTTATAAATTACAGCTGTTCGTCACCACTAAATGCACAGTAAAAATCTAAATTAAAAATGTGTGATAACTGATGTTCTTCTGACTGTATATTTCAATCTATTTAGTAGTATATCAATCTGTATTATATTAGGCTCGCTTGCTTTATTGTGAATCCTTTGTGAAACTTGATTTCAGTTTCTAAACTTCTTATTCTTTTTATTTGTTTGTACACGTATTACATGATACATACATAGCTTGCGTGTAATACTCATAATTCAATTCATTTGATCTTTCATTCTTTGTGTTTCTCTACCTGTGAATTAGGGTTTCGCCTATTTACTTTAAGGTCCATCCAACCTGTTGTCAATAACTTAAACTATTAATACATTTCAGAAAATTCTTTACATGGCTAATTAATTTATTGTTAGGTATAAACTGCATAACATCAAGACGATAACACGAAGTTCTATCCTTTAGTTTTCTGTTAAAGTTTAAGTATTTAGTTTAAGAAAACTTTAACAGAATTTAATTCTAAATGCACTTTAAAATGTTTTTGGAGAAAACATCGATTGGGCTTAGAAACTCCTAAAAGATAAACTGACATGAAAGAAGAAGAAAATAATGTGTAGCGGCGTCTGGCATTGTGCCCCATAGATACATTTACATTTTATTTTATATATTATTTACATAACATTTGTAAATTTTTAAAATTGTATAAAGTTTTAAAATTTTTTTTTAAAGTTTGTTTTTTAAAGTTTGTTTTTTAAAGTTTGTTTTTTAAAATTTGTTTCATTCATTTTGCATTTTCTGCTTTTGTAAAAAAGTGAAACATTTAATTAAATCTGATTTTTTTGTTTTTCTAGCATAAAGTACGAATCCCTTTGTTAAAATTTTCATAGCTAACGAGTGATGTCAGTTGACGCATAAGAAATATATTGTCAGCATGCTTCTTCTCCTGTAAAATTGCACACAACCGAATTTTGAGATTTTTAAAATTTGATTTGTATAAATACACTAGATTCAAAATTAAAGAATCATTATTTATATATTGTTATGCTAACTGTAGGCATGTTGATTAAAATTCGACTGACTGTAATAATTTCTGATAACACATGATGCTGCTTAACACAAAAAAGGTGCACGTATCTGGACACAGAATAGGTGAATATGTTAATTATAAGAGGAAAGTAAGCATGTTTATATCGCTTTCATATCTGGGTCAGACATAATGCTATAAGTGTGAAGGGGATGAGAGAAAAAAGTTAATTGGGCCTTAAAGACATAACTTTGTGAAAGGCCAAAAGGTGTAAGTGACTGGTAGATTCGACACGAATCAAGCACAGTTGCACGTTTCCCAAAAAACTTTGCCTGAGACCAGTAACCATTGATATTTCAGTAAGCAAATCTACTGCATACCGAACGTTTTAAGAGCATGTTATTAATGCAAGACGTCCGTCCTGTTTTTAGCGTTTCCCAGAACAGAGCCTTTCAGATGATGCTGTCTTCGTTGTCAAAGGAGTCTAGATGACTGAACCAGAGTATTGTTGATGGGAGAGTCCGTATTCAGTTAATATAGTAATTCTTCACATACTGGTGAAAGCCTGGAACACGTAACTTTCCATCGCATATCAATGAAATACATTACTTTCCACTGAGATAGTATATCTGTTTTGGGCAGATCAGGAAGAAACGGCCGCATCGAGCTTCATACCTATGGCGAAGATTTTGTAACCATGCAAAGGTAAGTAGATGAAGTACTGCGTGCCTAAGTAAGACTGTTTAGGGCCCATATATGTTTTCATTAATGACAATGCTTAACTTCATTGTGCTGCTGTGATGACTGAATACCTGCAAACTGAGGATGTTGTTCAAATAGCCTTGCTATGATATTAGTCTGACTCGTAATACTCTAATCTAGTCGTAGTATATCTGGAATGTCCTACTCCGGGCAATTGCAAGGGCGGTAGCTTTTTCCTCTGAGCCTCCAGGAATTCAGATGTGGCTATTGAAAGAGCGACGTTTGATTCCACAGGGCATAACTGACAAGATTTTGAGTCGTTAAGGCTGCTATAATAAACACGTTTCTAAAATAATTATATCTTCGAAAACAGTGCAGTTTCTTGTTTTTAAAATGTTTTGCATAGTTTGGCATTAGTAGCGATATTTTGTCCATATTCAACTTGTTAACATGCATAGTTTGGTACAATTGGCTTGGTTGGTTTATTTAATTATGGCAAAGCACACTAGGGCTATCTACCTAAGGGGAGGGATGCCTTCGTGGAGGACTTTGTGAGGAAAACTGGCTCCTATACACGTTACACATGGGTAAAACCACGAAAACGGCCATGCAGCCAGCCCGTTCGCGGGATTCGAACCTCGGACCGAACTACCAGTGTTCAGCGACTTTACCGCTCGGCCGCTGGTGGGCCGTAATAGTTTGGTATTAGTAGCAACATTTTAACTATATTCAACTTGTTAACATGCATAGTTTAGCATTTGCAGCATCATTTTAGCTATATGTGTGTGTGTGTGTGTGATTATGGCAAAGCCTCGAGGGCTATCTGCCTAAAGGGAGGGATGCCTTTCGTGGAGGTCTTTCTAAGGGAAACTGGCTCGTATACACGTTTACACATGGGGAAAACCACGAAAACGCCCATGTAGCCAGCCCGTTCGCGGGATTCGAACCTCGGACCGAACTACCAGTGTTCAGCGACTTTACCGCTCGGCCGCTGTTGGGCCATTTTAGCTATATTCAACTTGTTAAAATGCATAGTTTGGCATTAGTAGCAATATTTTAACTTGTTAACATGCATAGTTTGGCATTAGTAGCAACATTTCAACTATATTCAACTTGTTAACATGCATAGTTTAGCATTAGTAGCAATATTTTAGCTATATTCAACTTGTTAACATGCATAGTTTAGCATTAGTAGCAACATTTTAACTATATTCAACTTGTTAACATGCATAGTTTGCCATTAGTAGCAATATTTCAGCTATACTCAAATTTTTCACAAAGTAATATATACTTATGAATGTTTTGTACCATTTCTATTTGTCTTTTTATTCCTGTAACTATTTTTTTTAACAATTATCTTTTATTATCTTTTAATTTTGATATGGATATAAAACGATATCCGTCTGGGTGGCTCATTTGTTTAAATAGTGATATAGAACAACGATAATTTTTTATCTAGCTGATAAGGAATCTATTTATCTTTCATGGCAGATTTTTTTAAAGTATTTCAATATCAAACGTAACTGTCTAAGAAAAACGATGTCTTTCTCGATCTGATTTGTCACGGACTTATTTATTTTACTCTGATAAGAACCTCTAAATCTTCAGACACTTCTGTAATTTCTGTAATTCCCACTTTTCAAAAAAACTACTTAGTGAATAATTTGCAAAAGTATTTTATTTCTTGAAAAATACAATACTAAAGTTTTTTCTTTATTTTTCTTTTCTCTCCCTCCAACTCTTTAAGTTTCGTTTGAAAATCCTCTTGAGTAAAACAAGCCGTTGCCTTTAAAATGCTTCAAGTTGCTGGAGAATGCGTTTAATTTTTTACTAAGTTTTCAAACTAGAAATTCTTTGGAAATATTATTCTATATATCTATTTTAATTTTACAATGCTAAGTTCTTTTCGCTCATTATGCCTATTATAGAAAGTTTATTGATTATGCTGTTGATATAAATTACCTAATCAAAAGTCTCTCTTTACAGGTACCTAAAATGAAGTTGATATCAGCTCTCGTTTCTTGTTCTGCAATATTAGTCGCCGTTAGAACGAAAGGTATACGAATATTTGATATTTTATTTTATCAACTCGGATTAGAAATATGACGGATTTATTTCTTTTCGTTTAAAGATAGATAATTCTGTGGATTTGAGAAAGTGAGATATATTAAAGTTTTTATCAGACATAAAGCCATTGTCATTTTAGTTTGAAATAGCTCTATTCCTCATTGAAATATTTAAAATGTGTTTATTTTCTCTTTTAAGTGATTTTATTTAATTAGATAAATTCTTCTATGAAATTAAATAAAAAATTATATGTCTTTTCACACACACACACACAAAAAAAAAAAAAAAAAAAAAGCACACTTTTTTGGTGAAATAAGGGTATGGTATTTTTTGCACGTTACTTTTACGAAATTTATACGAATGAAAAAGGCTGAAGTTACTGTTGACTCTTGATCGTTATTTTCCACACGTTATTTTTACGAAAATTATACGAATCCGAATGTACTGATAAAACTACCGCCATGATGGTATATTTTATTCGTCACTTTTACGCATATTATACGAATCCGAATGTTCTGAAAGAAACTACTGCCTTTATGGTATATTTCATTCGCCACTTTTACGGATATTATACGAAGTCTAAAAAGATTGAAAATGAAGTTTATTAATTCAAAATATTTAGTGTATTTCTGGCATTTCACTTTGTTTTCCTTGTCCACGAACATGAAAAAAGGGGCATTCATATATGAGGCTAAAATTTTTCTATAAATTTTAACATGTGAGCTAAATCTTTACGTGCATTTTTACAAAAAATTATATTTTCTTAATTCAAACATCTTCAAAATAACTTATTTATTTTCTTATATCAAATTTGTCATTTTTATTCATATCAACACTTACATTAATTTACACAATTTAATTTCTTTTATGAAAATCCTATTACCCATTTAACTGGAAGAAGCTGTATATTAAATTTGTGTACTTACTGAGTTTGGTATAATACTCGCCTTATTTTATTTAGCAAATGTGGGCAATTAAATTGGAATAAGACTAGCAAATCTTTCATGTCGAGGAATAGAATAATAAATACAGCAGAAGATGCTCGAAAACGTTTAACTTCTTGAACAATAGTTTAATGTAGACCAAAGGATCATTAATTATAATCAAAGATATACTAATATTTTTATTTAATAATAATAATAATAACTCTACGAAATTGCAAGTTGAATCCTGATATTTTACATATATTTCAGTTCCTTTAATCTTTGTTATAAAAATCATATGAGGCTAATTTTTTTTTATTTTGTTTAATGTACGGAAAAATGATATAGCGATTTTAGTAATTTTTATATGAGGAAAAAATTAATAAATAATGTAAATAAATCATTATATTATATTTTATATTTTTCCTGAAACAGTTAAAGACATTCTTAATATGGAGATCTACAGAATAAGTACAAGGGTCCAGTTAAATGAACTCAAAATTTGCATAGTTAATTTTACGCTAACTTTTAAAAATTAACCGGATTTACGATTATACACTGAGCATGCGCATACACAGACATTTCTATTTTTCGTAGAAAAATTTAATTATTACCTTAATACAGAGATGCTGTGAATATAAATTTAAATAATGCAAAAGTAAGTTTATTTCATATGCTAATTTAGAGGCTTTCTTAATATGTTTAATTATAAAGAAAAAAAAAGCGTTGCAATTCTTGTTCACTGACCAATGGCAAAGCAGACACTTTCTACTTCTACTTCCGGTTGTGGCGGGATATTTGTGAAGTCAGCACTCAGCAATGGCGGTCGAAAAGAATGGTAAAGTCGCAAAGAATACTGTTTGTTCGTGGATTGGCGTTTGTGACTGAATCCATCGAAGTTACTAATTATTTGAAGAAAGTAAGTGAATATTTTTTATTTTCAGTGTTTTTAATACTCGTACTTTCTTCACCTATATAAAATTTTATAAATAACGTCTGTGTAGGAAATGTGATTTTCCATGTGTTGTTCTTTTGTGTACGTGCCTAATGATTCATTTTCAGGATTTGGTACTGTTAAATTTTGCACTAGTCTGTTTCTTACTGTTTGTGTCACTCCTTTTTGTATGTGTCTCACCTTTTTATAGTTATATTATTTTTACTCAAACGTTTTAATATTTATCTAAAAGCATACTTTAATTAAGCAGGAAATAGCTTTTAATGGAAAAAGAAAGGCAATATTAACATGACTAATTGTTCAGAAATCTGTTATGGAAATGTTATCTACCTTATGCCAAAAAATAAAGCATGTAACTTTCATTTATTTATGAAATTCAAAATTTTTTATTTGCTTAGTGTTTTCCCTAAAAATAATTTAATTTCTTATTTTTGAATTTAGTTTTATAAATTTGCTTTAATATATAATCTTTAAGTCAAAGATATTGTGCTCTTAAAAAAGGAAATTTTATGCCATAGAAACACAGGTACTTTGTTCCAAATCTGTGTTCATTTTTTTTTTTTTATATATATACTGAATTTTTATGTACTTGTAATTACTGAAATATATCCTTTCATGAATAATAAATAAGTCCTTTCATGAATGCATTTCTTTTTTGTTTGTTTGATTTTGTTGTTTTAAAAGATCTGCCATAGTTAAAGAAAGAAAATAAAGTAAGAATGCTTTACTTTCAGTTTTGAATAAGTTTATTACTATTTACTGCAGCTTCAAGTTTCTCTAAACATAATTTTCGAAGTCAAAACTTGATAGTTATGTTGATTATTAGACTTGCATGAAAAAATTAGTATTTGATCTAAAATACCTTAAATTATTTGAATTATATTTTACTAAATCATGTATTTTGATATAACTAGATAGTTAAAAAAATTAAAATTGTAAATGTGCAGAAATGCTTATATAAAACTAAGAAATTGTTTATATTTTTGTTGCTTTTTCCCTTGTAAATTAATTATATATATATTACAGTCTGGGGAGTCAGCACCCTGCTGAATTGTAGTAAACGAGACGTCCAATCTACTAGACCATCAAAGACATGCAGATTTGGATTTTCTATTTCATAGTTATTGAAATCATAATGGTATGTTTGTTTAAATTAGTACTGTTTATGAATGTGATAAAAATAAATTCTGATAAGCTAAGAAATGATTTATTTTCTATTAATTATGAACTGTAAATAATGTAATCAATTTTCTTCATAGTATTTACTAAACATTTTTTTTTTAAAAAAAGGGAGGTAGTCTTTTTATACAATTCTTGCAGAGATACCAAGAAATAAAACATTTCAGGAATTTTCACTCAATATATCTTGATGTGTAAAATCGTCTTGTTCAACGCCATATTACTTTTTCACAGGAAAGTAATTTTATTGATCTAACATCTGCATAAATCAAACGTTTTTAAGAATGATTACAGTTTCTAAGTTTCTAAGCTAACTTAAAATTTTCAGATTTAGAAAATGTATGTTTAATTTAGCATTAGTTTTCCATGGAATAGAAAAGGTTTTCAAAATGTTCAGTTGTTAGAGGGAAATAATATAAATGAGATTGTCCTGATACAGTTTCAGCTGGAAATGAAACTGAATTTTCGGATAGTGAAGATTTCATTTAAGAATTCTAATAAAACTGATTAATGTAAATCCTCTGCATTTAAGAATTCTAATAAAACTGATTAATGTGAATCCTATGATTCATGTAGGTATTCTTCTGTTATCAGGACCAGATTCAGAAATGTGTGTTTATATGCATGCATTTTTAAATGTAGGTGCTCGTGTGTGCATGTGTATATTCTTTATGTATGTATGTGTATATTTTACACATATATGCGCATACATGCATATACACATGCTTACATATCTACAGTGGAACCCCGAGATACGAGTTTAATTCGTTCCAGCATTCAACTGGTATAGCGAATTTCTCGTATTTAGAAACAAGCTTCCCCATTGAAAATAATGGAAATTCAGTTAACCCGTTCCACACCCCAAAAAATATCAACATTTTAATATCAAGTCAATTTTTCCTAATAAATAACACTGGTAAATAATATAACAATAGTTTAACTTTGTTACCAACATTTTAACTCCTTCTAATTAATCCACACCAACAACAGCTTCTCAACATCTAGGAGTACTTTTATGGTGCTTGGAAGAAATAATTCCTTTGGTTACATCAGGTTTCTTAATTTCTTCCTGCTTCTTCAGAATAGTATAGATTTTCGATGTTGAAAGGCCGCAAGTCTTCGCCAATTCCGTCACCATGCTTATGTTTATCTATGATTTCTTTCTTGATATTGACGGCCATGGCCTCCTTATTTTTCTTTGCAGCACTATCTGAGGCAACAATCTTCTTGCGAGGCATCTTGAAATAATTATTTTCACGTTAAATGTCAAAACAATTAACTTACAAGTGCACAAACACGTATATAAAAGAACACCGAGTGATCTGTCGAGGGGATTTCCCGAGTTGAGCCGGATAGGGAAATGACGCCACCCGTACCAACAGCCTGGCTCGTTACTCGAATTAATGCTCGTATTTTGCTCATACTTTCCTCGTATCTCGAGGTTTCATTGTACATTTCTGAATCCCGTCCTAATAACAGAGGAGTACCTTTGCCAGTATTGCAACAGAGCTAGAATGAATTATTGTGTTAAATATGTGGAAAATGCATGCTGCTAAAGTACTGTTATTTTCTAAAAATATTCTGTATGTCTATTTTTTACAAGAAGAAAAAATAGCTAAAAGCTGTTAATTTACTCGTATTTATTAGTCCAAAGGGGCTTTGTCCCTAAAGAACTATTGTTTTTGTTTTGCATTGGTTCATTATAAATATCTGTTTCACTTTTCAAACTGTTCCTACCAAATGTTAGCGTCCCTAGTGTGGGATTAATACTCTCTATCTTAGTGCCCTCTATAACCTATGTTAGGGTTAACCTGTATAACCTACAAGGATTGCCAGTTTAGGCGAGATATCTAGGTAGTCATCATAATACGTACCTTATTTTTTATTATTTTTAAATTGAAAGTAATAAACTAGTTTTCAAGAATGGAGTTAAACTAGATTTGCATTCAACTCTGGTTTATTGTGTTAATGATGTTTTGCTGTAACAAATATGAATTTTTTGTTTAAGTATAATAATTTGAAAATGTTTTTTTCTAGAGAATGAAGTACTGCCACTAAGGTAAAGGTGCTAACTTGCAAGGTAATTTTCTATTCTACATTAACTCAATCTTTATGTCCTGTTACAGATATATTGGCAGAAATAATGAAAACCTGACATTCAAAAAGAAAAATAATAACGTTGAATGTAGTATATTAGATGGTTAACTGCGGTTTGGCAGCTCATTAATAATCTTACACATATTGAGTACAAATAACTTTGACAATTACCGGTATTTTCAATAGTATAAAATTAGGCAAGAAAGCAGCTTTAGCTTAGCACCGATTTTAAATAAAATTCTCTTACCAATATTGGTTTGACGAAGGTAAAATATAATTGAATTTAATAAGTTGGAAATACTGTCTGTCTTTCCATGAGTTAAAAAATAATTTCAAATAAAATTTCTTTTTTCAGTTTTTCATGTTATTTGTTTAATGTTATTGTAATCTGATTTATCATATTTAGTCACATATTCCATCCCTCTTTGCACTATAGTATATAATTCAAAGGACTTATCAGTTTTCAGCAGCAATATTTTTTTACCAGTATACATTTTTACCATAACTCTGTTTCTAAATCATATCCTGAAAAATTAAGGAGTAAAGTACACAAAGAAGGAAAATATGCAAGTAAATAATGGCATTTAGTGTTGTTTATGTGTCTAATATTTGTACTAGATTGTAAAAGTTATAAAATTCTATTAGCTTTTTTTAAATTATTCTTTTTAAATTGAGATGCTTCTTTGCACCCAAATGGTTAAAGCCCTAGCGTGACTTTGGTACTTTGATCTAACTTCTATTCCTAATAAATAATCCAGCTGCATACAGTTTACTCAATTTCTGCCATGTGTAAGGTAAACAATATTAGCTTTTTTTAAATATATATCTTTTACAACTATTCCATCAGGTAGATTTCTTTCATATTTTGCCTTAATTGAGTCATCCTGCTAATTAAAAATTTATTAAAGTTAATATGTTAAGTTTTTGTGTGTATAATTCATTTTAAGTATGTGCAAGCAAATGCATACATTAACAGTTACGTAGAATTATATTTTGGGTATCAAATTCAGAAATTTTGGGGCTGTTTTTAGAAGATTTATTAATGATTTATACTATATTAATATTGGTAAAAAAATTCTGTGGCTTTTATATGAGAGTATATATTTTAAAATAGCTGCATGATATGGTAGAGGTAAAAAGCTTCATGTGGATCATAAATTAATATTATGTGGAATTTTTCATTTATTTAATAAAGAAAATATTCAAGCCACAATTAAATTTTTTTCACTGGATTATTTGCATACAAAGTTTGCAGCAAATATTTCCTGCAACAGAAGTGACAATTTTTATTTTGCCAAGACAGGAAATTTAGTTAGTGTAAGTAGTAACTCTATTTTGAGATGTTAAACAGGAAGGCAAATTTTTGAATTTAAATTGATTTTTGAAGGAAGACTTCATTTAGTCTTGCTATCATTCTACGTGGCTCTTAACTTTTTTATGGTATTTATAATTTTATTGTTATTCAGCTTTCTGTTTGCTTAGAATGCACATGAACGTAGACTTGAAATATTTTATATTGCAAACTGAGATGCCATTGTTATCATAATTAAAGATTTTTGCTCTGATTTTGGAGGAATTTACTGATAATACTTTTGATTGTGTATTGGTTTCTGGTTTATTGAAATGTGTAAAATAGCCTGTTAATGCATATACGTATGTTAATGACATGTATATGTTTATGAAGTATTCTGTTATATGTATATATGTGTTGTGATTAGTTTTCTGCTTACTCTTTATTTAAGAAAAAGTTATCTGTAAGAAAGCAAATATTCTTTACTATATGTAGGAGTAAAATTGAAAAGGCTAATGCAATATAATTAATACACAAATTAAGTTTTTTTCTCATGTACATAAATATGAACATAGCCATTAAAGACTTGCTCTTAACCTTGCAATTCTAAACAAATCTTAAAGGTAGTTTTTACTTGAAATTATAGGCATTGTGTAAGGTATATAATTGAAGCTTACTGTGTGATAGTATGAACTTACATTTTTAATTACTGAAAAGTAAAGTTTTAAATATGAAGTGCACTTTACTGCATCTTTACTGTGTCATTTACTGCATTCACTGCATCTTTTAATACTGTAACTATTTAAAAACTGAAAACATCTGAAATGTGAAATTATTACAAATTTTTTCTTTTTCTTGTTTAGGAGCTGTTTCTCAAAACATTGGGTGACAAAGAATTCACTTTTTACAAAAATCAAGCAGGATATTAAAGACAGTAAAACTATAGAACAACAAATATGGCGAAGCTGCATGAAAGTCTATGTTAAATTTTATTATTGAAAAAAATATGCTCTTCAGATTTAATGTTAGTTTTTATTGTTTAATACAGTAATTGCAGTTTTTCGAATACCTGTAAAATAAACCTAATTCTTAAATTTCATGTGTATTTCTTTTGCAAGTATTAGTTCATAATACTTCAAACAACTTGAAATTGTATACTTGTTAATTTATGTGGGATATGTTCATAATAATTTTTATAATTTAAATAACTCATTGTCATCATATGAGCATAATCTAAAATGCACAGCATTTGACAACAAATTAATAAAAAATAGCCAAATTCTAATTGCTTTCTTTTGTCCAGTTGCCTCTTTTTTTAAATCATTAATACCATAAAGCTATTTGATGAAAAAAAATAATTGGTATGTGCACATCAACATGTACATTTATAATGATGTTATAGAAAAGTCACATGAGATAAATATTTAAAAACTTAAATATTCCTAAACAAATTAACTTTTAAAAAAATTTTTATCTGGTATATAAGATAAAATAAAGAACATATTTAGGTAATTTTGAATTTGCATAATTTTATGAACTTATTTATGAAATTAACAGTTATTGTAAAAGGGAACTTTTTAAAATACTTCAATAAAGCATTTCTTTTGTAGAGGTGAACTTTTAGTACTGATCTAATATATTTATAAGATTTTAAACTGAAAAAGACAACAATAATAGATTACAATATATTGCAAGATTGACTGATAAATGTAAAATTTTTACATATCATAATTATGTGTGTAATTAAAACAGAGTTACTCGATTAACTTGCATGCAAATTAATATTTTCTTTAACATGTTTGGGATAAACTGAATTTTAATAAATAAATATGTATAGATTTGTGTATTATCTGAAGATATGAATGAAATATTTGTGACATTAAACATTCATCTTCAAGGAAAATAACAAAGTCAACTTGGTAAACTATTGGAAAAGGTAAGTTTTCTACAATTTCCTGGTCTATTTAACAATTTTAAAATTTAGCACCCATCATTCAAATAATCTAAACGTATGTTTTCTTTTTGTGCTACATTCGTTTACTGAATTTGTTAATTAACTATATTGTACTTTAGATAGAAATTAACGTAGATATTCCCTGTATTTTACAGTACAAAAACTATATATTTTGATAATAATTGACCTAAATCTTCCCTATGTTTTCTTTGCATATATGAATGACTTTGGTAAAAATTTAGTCCGATGTCTTCTCCTCTTTACTGTGTATAAGTGCACATTTTTGGTAAAAAATTTGCATAAATCTCCAATTACCTATATTTACTGCATTTTTCGTAAAATGTGCTTATTTTAATCTCTTATTTTTTATATAAATCTATGCAAAAATGTTCTGCATATTATGATTAAAAGATAAAATTATATCAATTTTTACATATCCACCTTTTAGGTATGTACAGCAATATGGAATTATATAACTGGAAAATTAAATGCAAAAAAAATTAATTTCTATTCAAAAATTACATAACACTAAAAGCTGAAAAATTTAATATTTCTTTCTACCCCTATGCAATTCAATTTTTGTAAACCTGTTCATTAATCATTCAAATCTTAATGCAATAATGTTATTTATTTTATTTGTAAAGAACTGTTTTGCTACAGTGTTACTTTAAATTTATGAAAAATTTAGTAAACAAAAAAATGAACAATGGTATTGATTTAAAACACAGAATTGATGTTTACTATTATATTGACATTTTGCAAAAAAAATAAAATTTCTTCAAAATATTTTTTTAATAAAATTTTTTTAAAATTTTGCTTTTAAATTTTATTTTCCAATACTATATTTCCTGTTGTAAACTAAAGATATGTAAGAATTTATATAAAAATATTTTTTACTTTTTAATCAAGCATACAGAAAAGTTTTTAGTTCAAAATATGATTTTTTAAAATACTTTTTGAATTGTAAATGCATAGATTTATATAAAAAATAGAGATTATGTACATTTTTGAAAATGCAGTGCAAAGGTAATTGGAGATTTTTACCAAAAAATTGCATTTATACACATAAAGTGGAGAATAACATCGGATTAATTTTTGCCAGTCATTCGCATATGCAAAGAAACATAGGATTTTAGGTCAATTACTATCAAATAATATTTTTTGTACCATACGGGAATATACCTTAAATTTTTACCTAATATATACGTTTATATACAGTAAAAAATCGGGAAATTACGTAATTTTCACTAAATGTATACGCATACGTGAAGCGAAAATTTAGCCCTGAAATAACGTATATTACTTATACGTAAAAGTGCGAAAGACATTCTTTCGTTACTTGTAAATAATATTCCAAAATTTGTTGCATTAACATGTAAAAATTATTATATTGTAAATAATATATTAGTATATTACTGGAATATAAAATCACTTTTTGTGATTAATTGTTACAAGTTCAACTAACATTTTATTGCGTCATTTAAAGCTAACCCGTAGCCTATCAGCGTAATGCACATTGATTGACGTTTAGGCACGACTACTCGGCCCTTGAACGGTTGTGGAGGTGAGCGGATAATATTTTTCATTATCTGACCTAAGCAGTAAATGATTTCTCTGTTTGCCTCTATTTTCTGTTCGAGTGGTAACCATCAACGACGAGGTACGCAGCTCCGTTCTCTAGAAGTTATGACTAGCTTTTATTTTTATTAGTGTAGTTTTCGTGTTAACACTCAACTAAAATATCCTTCTTTAGGACTTCTGATAATGACGATGATCATTAGAGCGTTTACGTTGACTGAAAGATCGATAAGCTTGTAATATTTTAGCTAATTTATTAGTCCTTCAAAGCTAGAATACTTAACTTAGAATACTAGCTTAAAACTGTATAGCGAATAATTGCTGAGTTCCGTACTTAAATGTTAAGTCCAAAGAAGGGTTAAATTTACCCTTTATTCTAACACGAAAAAATTCACAGATGGCCTCTTTTCGGGTTTACAGTAAGCCATCACTTGGGATTTAACTTAAGCTAGAAAATATGAAACTAATCTTATGCTAACTAAACTAAAACCAATCGAAGTTGCACAGAAATAACTAACAGAGTTGGCCCCATGGAGGTAGGAAAGGGAGGAGGGGCCAACTCGCGCTAAAAGTGAAGCACTGCTTTGAAGCTTGGGTCACCAGATGGGGTGTTCTTTGTTTACATTCAGAAGCTCGCTTGACAAGATTCTGATAGTATTTCGACACACGACAGTTCCATAAAAATCGAAAAAGGGACACTTTCGCATGAAAGAAACATTCATAGTGTGATGGATAATAGCAATTTGTATAGTTTACTGACATTTACGCAAAAATCACATCTTGGTTATTTTTCGATAACTAACAACAGCGATTTTGATTATGAATTTGTTTTATAAAATTATAAGCTGTTGCACTACAAAAATATAGATTTTAAGAAAAATGTTATGCTTAAAGAATGAAAAATACCTTATGGTATATTTAAAATTGTATACGTTTTTCGATACCCTTGATAGAGTATTCGCTACTTTTATTTTATTTTCCAAAAGTCAAAAAGGTTTAAATAAAACAAATTTTTTTCACATCCATATATGTACCATATATATAACATGTACCTTTTAAAATTTTTAGAGGAGAGGCTTTACTGCTCATTTTAAACCCATCGTTTTAATTTTATATATCTGAAAAATAATCACTTTGGGCTTACACGTTTTATAAATATAAAATTATGTATCTTAAAATATTTGTAATTAGGCACATAGGTCAGATTAAGTTTTTATTAAATAGAGTAACGCATGCAAGGGCTATCTGCCTAAAGAAAGAGATGCCATCGTGGAGGAATTTTGAAGAAAAACTGACCTTTGAGTGGGTATTAAAAATAATACTTATAATTTTCATTCAAATTATATTCATATATATTTTTTATGTAAAACTTTCGGGTGTATGCTAAATTAGTGTAAATTACTTTACACGAAAAATATAGTGAATGCACAGAAATTAAAGATTTGCACATGCCGGAAATGATAAATAGGAAATATGTATGGGTATTTATGCATGTGCTTGCAAAAAGCATGTATCTGCCTTTGACAAAATACTTAAATATTCATTAAATTATTTATAAATGTATTTGAAATGAAGAATTTATTCACTTATAAACAACTGTGAAAGTACTGTCAAGAAATCTAATTATTAAATGTATCTAATTTATAATGATTATAAATGTTATCTAAATATATAATAACCTTAATATTGAATTGTAAACATAAATTGAAATCCTGCTGACAAATACGTTATAAAACTATTTAAGCAAGAATTGTTCGTATTGGAAAGCAATCCGTTAAAAGTTACTGTAAAGCAAATGCTATGAGATGCGCACTTAAGAACGTAATAAAGAGTTTTGGAATATGTATTGTTGAAATGAAGGGTAAAAAAAAATCTGATAAGTATAATTAAAAGAATTATTCCCCTTACATTATATAATAACTCAGTTACAAGTTTTAAATAATACTTAAAAAAAAAAAACTTATTTTATTCCCTTTCAGAAATGTTCAGAGAAAGTTAAGTACTATTTAAAGTATTCCGCTAATTTTTAATAATTCTCTAATTTAAAATGAACCGAATAGAGCATTAATTATAAATTTACTTATATTTTTCGATTTAAAAGATGCCTCAGAAGCCAAAAAATCATGTCATATTTAAGAAAGTATTTTAGGAAGAAGCTCTATAAATAGAAAAGAAATAATACATAATTTTAATATTAATAATATAATAAACTTTGATCTTAATTTTTGTACCCTTAACCGAATAAAATTGAATTACCTTAATTTTTTTTTCTAATGTAATTAATGAAAACTTGTGAAAATATTTCATTCAAATTAAACCATTCTGAGAAAACTGTCCTGTGAAAAATATAGCATTTAATATATACATTTATAT